AGTATTTCATACCATGTACGAAGTTTTTATACTACGGGTGAAGAGGTTCAAACTTACCTTTAAGGGGTGTCTCCTGTAGGCACCGGTGTTACTCATCATAGAACATATATAGTATCCATAATGTACACTCCCAGGCTTCTGCTTGGGGCACTGTGTGTTTTGCATATGAAAATGTTAAGTAATGCTTTTGACAGCCATGTAACGGAGTACTGAAGAAGTAAGTTACACTTACCACACATAGTGTTTTTATAGCCAGTTTTTCCTTCCTTACTGGATCATGCCTTCCATGATGATTAGTGACATAGTACCTAAATGCCCTGTTCGAATTTCATCAAACATAAATTTGCAAAAATGAAATTAATAAAAAAAACCAAACCCTAGATCTAGATCCACATGCACATGAAACATCCATAAAACTAACTAATTGTTCACTAAAATCAAGAAACATGGACCAAATAAGGGTATGATCTTGTTCTCCTCCCTAATTTACCCTAGTACATTTAAAACTTGGGTCTAATTTGCTTCATAAGTAGCTCAAGCATCATAGAAGAGAGAGAAAAACAAAACTCTAATTACTCACTAACCAACCAATAAAACTTCAAAAAAAAGTGTGGAATAGCATTTTTTACCTTCTACAACCTTTCCACCAAAGGATTTGAGACCAAAACCTTCTCCCCTTAGTAGAGCAATTTTTGGGAGGTGCCCAAGGCCTCCCCACCTTTCTTTCACGGGTTGGAGTGAGTGACCCGAGGAGAAAGGTGATGCAGTTGTTTTATATGTGGGTCATTTGTAGGGGCGGCTGGTGATTGAGCCGCCCCTACAAATCGGAGCTATATATACGGGGGCATTTGTAGGGGCGGCTCAATTACCAGCCGCCCCTACAAATAGCAACTCCAGGGGCAGCTGGTGTCTGGGCACCCGAGCACGCCACTGTAGGGCGGCTCCATCACCAGCCGCGCCTACAAAAAAATCGAACCGTTGCTAAAAATCGTTTTTTACGTAGTGTTCATTATAGTCTATGTGTCACTGTTTGCGGATAGCACTGCATGACATAAGGCAATATAAGTCAATTATGATATACAGAAATCAACAAGCTCAATAGACTAGACATTGAATGATCTAGTGGCCTTCATGTTCAGTTGACTAGGCACATTTTTCAAATTCCATTTTCTTTAGGCATTGCATGTGTCATTTACATTCATTTTTAAGCAAATATGTCATACACATAGTAAATGCAATTCTTTATCAGTTCCAATCCAAATTGTAGTAAAAAAAAAGTTAGATGAAATCTGAAATTTTGAATTTCTAAATGGTTCACTAATATGCTTCCTACTTTGCATTTTCATCTTAGCCATAGGCTGATAGGCCACAACCTAGTGGACATGCTTCATGTCATGGGTAGTCAGCTGAGCCTATTGGGCTGGGTTCGGTAGTGTGGCCCATTAGTGTTAGGGTTAATTAGAGATAAGGGGCAAGGGGGATTGTGAGAGCAGCGGGGATCGGAATGCAGGTGGCTGCAAAGAGGTGTTCATCCTTGCAATGTGGAATTTCCCTCACATTAATTCCTGCCTTCAGTTACCTTGTGCTTCCACCACCAGACTTGCTCAGACAGTTTCTTGATGGATGGAAAACCAGCCAAACCACCCTAGAATCGCCCGCAGTTTAAGCCCATGGGGCTTCTAGGTCTCATGCAATGGTTTGAATCATAGGCGATAATTCCCCCCCCTTAGATGCAAGAAAAATTAAGGAAAAGAAGAATATGGTTTAGACAATAAATCTACCCCAAGACCCATCCAACAAAGGAAAGGGTGCTTACTGCATCAGCAAAGTATATAACAACAATACAATTCCAAAAGAAAGGTACTCCCTCTAGTCACGAAATCATGTCATTTTGGGCAAGGTTTGGTCAAAGCTTAAAAACTACAAACATTATTAACTTTTAAATTAATGAGTTTTAAGATATATAAGTTATATGTAAGAGTTTTATTCAAAACACTTGCAAAGCCTCATGAATTTGAAGAATTTTATGAAATATTCTAGAACAAATTAGAGGTTAAAGTGTTAGAGGCAGCAAATCAAGTAAGTGGCAAGATTGGCGCCCAATTGAGGGGAATCCTGGGCACACCATTAGCAGGTACTAATATAGAAGCTTAGCAAGAGCGATTGGAAGAGAATTAAGGGGTGATTGGGCTATGTCATGGGCCTATCGACAAGGATCGTTTGCTTAGGGGTCAAGTAAGCCTCTCTATATAAGGAGAGGAGATGTATCGATCTAATCAAGCAAGAATTAGAAGGAAAACCTTTCTCTCTTGCTCGGCCGTGGGCAAGCCCCCCGTGCCTCTCTCTCTCTCTCTCTCTCTCCTCGCGACCATAGCAGCCACATAACATAAAGATACACATGGTCCTTTTAGGGGGGAAAAGATAGAGCCTTTTACCTATGTGCCATTATGAAAGATGCTCCAGGCCTACATGCCACTAAAAAGTTCGAATGCACCTATGCGCCATGACACTTTACTTTTTTGCCTCCCAAGCCATTTCGTCCACTTTTCCATCTAACGGTGTCAATATGTGCTGGAAAAAGTCCCAAATACTCTCACCTCAATTCTTCACCGTGCACTTCTTTGTTCACCTGCGACAGCACCTCGTACATCTATGACGGCGGTTGAGAGGCGGCCGGCAAGCCGGGCTCACGGCTATGGGGCTATAGCGCCCGCGCCCGCGACCTGTGAACCCACGGTTCCCTCGTCGAGCGCCCTGGCAGAGCACGCCTGCTCGCCCGGGCTGCCGCCTCCTGCGCCCCAGCTAAGCTCACCGCGACCGCTGTCTCTTGTGCCTGGCGGAGCTCGTCATAGCCACAGTTCCTGCACCTCGGTCGAGCTCATCCTACCCTCGGCGTTTCGCTTCTGAGCCAGGCGCCTACTTCAAGGGCTCGACGAGTCCGCCACCGTCCGCGCCCGCCGTCGACCAGCCACCGTCCGCGCCCACCGCTGACCAGCCACCGTCCGCGCTCATCGCCAGCGGCAGCTGGCTCGACGGGGCACAGACTTCGTGGTGGAGTTCGCCGGCGGCGAGAAGTGCATGGTGCAGGCGCTAGTTGAGTGTGTTCCCTGGCACGGATGCAAGGCGCCGCCGCATCAACCTAGACAAGCCCGGGATGGTGCCGCGTAGGACACCAGGCAACTCTCCCTGGACTCCACACCCTGACGTCATCACCCTGCGCCGGAACGCATCGTACACGGCGCCGCCACCCCGCCGCGCGCAGCCACGGCCGCCACCGTGTCCCGTGACGCTATCGTCAGAAGTGACAGTCGGCCTCCTAGCTCCTGCGCCAGCGCGGCCACGCTCGCCCGCCCGCCCACCCGTGGTGATCTCCGTCTGCGCTGGCGGAATCGAGTAGCGCCGCCACCGAGGAAACAGCCGCGGCCCCATCCGCAGTGGCCCCCAGCGGCGGCGCTAGCCTGACCTGCGTCCATGGCTGGCTCAGTCAGCGGTGTGGCCGGATCCACGTGCAAGTCAGCCCCTAGCGACAAGCGCGCGGCCGAGAAGGAGGACGAGGAGTCGACAGCGGGTGACGGAGACGGAGACGATGGAGCACCATCGGACAAGGCCGCAGCCGTGGGCCTCCTCTCGAGCTCGGGCTAGGCGGCGGCCTCCGCGCTATCGTTCACGGCCGGGGTGGCCGTGCTGCTGCTCGCATCGTGGTTCATCATGAGATACAGGGCGCGGGTGGCAGTGGTCGTGGCTCGTGCGGCTCTCTGCTGCAGCTTGCCACCGTCTTCCTCGTGCGGCTGTCGGAGCTCTGCTCGAGCACGGCCAGGTGGGTGAGCTCCCCTGACCGGCGCGTGGGCGAGCTCTCGATCTCGGCCGCCGCCGGCCCTCCTCCGCCCCACCCCAGCCGGATCTAGAGGTCTGCCACCGCCGCCGGCCGTCCTCCACCCCGCGATGACGCCCTCCCTGGCTCTGGGATGCCTGCGGGCGGCCCTGTTCCACGGCGTGGTTCCCCCGGCGCATGGCCCACTCACCGGCGCGCGCCCTAGCCCCGCGTGCCTCTCTGGCCAGCCAGCCACCACCGGCGCATGGGCGAGCTCCCTTGACCACCCTCGGTCCCCTCGCGCTCTTCTTGAGTAGGAAGAAGGTGCCATGTCACTGACAGTTTGGCCCCACGATGTAGAGAGAGAAAGAAGGGAGGACAGAGTTATGAAAGAAGGGTATTTTGGACATCATCATAGGTTGGGCCCACATGTCAGGGCTGGCAAATGGCAGAAATCAAACAAAAGGCGGACGGAATGGCTTGAGAGGCAAAAAAGTAAAGTGTCATGGCACATAAGTGCGTTCGAACTTTTTAGTAGCCTGTAGGCCAGGAGCATCTTTTATGATGACACACAGATAAAAGGCTTAAAAAGATACGCATCAACCATGCAAAGTCAATTTTCCTTTTATCTAATGAACCAACGGTAGTGCACAAAACTACAAATAACAAAATTCAATTACATATAGGGGAAACCGTAACATATATGTGAACTAGAACTGAAAACAATGAGAGGTCGACTTGGCTATGAACAAATGGTGACACACACAAGTACAAAAACAATTTTACTTTTCATAGGGCTAATGAATGCGCCGTAACATATGAAACCAAAAGCAATTTCATTAAAAGGTCAATCAACATCATCTAGCACTTATGAACAAACAGTAACTGTCTAATGGACACCGAAAACGGACAAAAAATTTAGTTTCCATGCAATGCTTACAAAAGAACTGTAAGTATGAAGCTACAAATGACAACAAAAAAGTACCCAGCTCCACTGTAACATACAAAACTAGAACACAAATGGTAACACAGTTATTGGCTTGATTGTATCTGAACACATGCACCCCCGAAATCAAGACTTATGATTGGCATACGTGCCAATTATTGATATCCTACCAAAGCATTCATAACCAGCAGCTCTACCGGATATCGCGTGCCAACCGAGTTATAAGCAATCCATTCATTACATCTATCCAGGACAACATCCAAAAATGGTAGTACTACAAATTCTCATGATTGCTATTGTCTGCACGATCAGAAGAATGTCATGCATGAAAATGGAAAAATGAGTTTGAGCAAGGGCTTTACTGATGACTGGAAGATCCATCTCCAGGCCGATGAGCTCGAGGAGCTTGAAGCCGTCCATGTTGGGCTTGGGCATGGCGACGTTGCTGATCACCAGGTCGAACTGGTTCCCGTCCTTCCTCTCCCTTAGCATGTCCAACGCCGTCTGGCCGTTCGTCACCATTGTCGCTACGCAGCACCACCAGAATCCAACCGTAAAAACAAAATCACCCAAAAAAAATTCATCGTCTGGCCTAAAATTGTATCACGACGGAATCGGATGGAAATAGGGGCGGCTAAGAAGGCAAGAACACACACCGTTGTAGTTGCAATACTTCAGCTGCCTCTCTAGGAGCTTGCAGCAGACGCGGTGGTGTTCGACGGCGAGCACACGTAGCCCCGCTGGGAAGGTGTCTGCGTCCATCTCTTCCCCTGTATCGAAACGAACACGATCAGTTCCAAGAAAGCAACCGCCGACCACCAAATCCCAGCAAGGAACCCGAGAAGACTCGAAATTTCTTACCTGCTGCAATGTCTTCCGTCGGCGTCCAAGAACCTCCGGGGAGCAACAGAGACAGAGGAAAAAGCGAAGTGACTAAGTGAGAGAGGCGATTTCCGGGTGAAGAGCAATGCAGCGAGTGCGAGGGGAAGGGGGGATTTATAGCAGGGGCAAGGAGGATTGGGGGAGGAGCGGGGATCGGAATGCAGGCGGCTGCAAAGATGGAAGGTGTTCATCCTTGCGATGTGGAATTTCCCTAGCATTAATTCCTGCCTTCAGTTACCCTCTGCTTCCACCACCAGACTTGCTGGCTTGTTCGTCGCTTGTGTGCTCTGGCTGCCTTCAGTTTCTTGATGGATGGAAAACCAGCCAAACCTCCCTAGAATCGCCCACGGTTTAAGCCCATGGAGCTTCTAGGTCTGCAGCGGCCGGACTCACCCGTCTTGGCCGCCGGTCCCGACGGAGGAGCCTCCCGAGACGTGGATTCGCCGGCCATGGCGTAGGCGACGCAATTGGAGAGCGTCGACCTGCTTTCACGAGACGAGAATCTCCATCCCCACCTATCTATCGGCAACCCAATTGGGTTTCTGACTTTCTGTTGCTGCGTCTGCTGCACGGAGGTGCCGGCGAGGGAGGCGAGGGGATCGTGGAATGGCAAGCGCCGCTGACCAGGTGTCGTCCACGCCGGTCAAACTGCGCATATCTTTAACTCGTTTGTTTATTATTAATATTATATTATTATATATGGTATATATATATATATATATGTATAATATACGTTCAAAAAAATATTTATTTCATACGTTGATAAAATATTATATATGTATAAAAAATAAACATGGAGTTAATGAATATATTTATAATCTTTATATCTCTATTTTTTCTCTATCTCTATCTTTGTTCTATCTCTGTCCATCTATCTATATCTATATCTATACACTTGTATATAAATAAAAATAAAAAGACTTTAAAGTCATCGTCGAGGCCCTGTTCCTGCCATTTGGGCCCGAGGCCATGCCAGGCACGTGGACAAGAAGGAAGCCACTGCCAAAGAACCGTAAGCAGCTTCTGAAGCTTCAGTCCTTAACAAACTGCCTTGACCAATGAGGCAACGACTAAGACATGCATGCATGAGAAAGGAGTAAGTGGCCAGTTGATGACTGTCTATATAAAAAGACATCTGGGCATCACTAAGGTCGACACACAAAACACAATTTGCCATTAGACATTAGTCTTAGCGAGCTACAGTAGTAACCATGAGTACATGAAAACTAGCTAGGCTAGCTAGGAACCGAAATGGAGGACTATGATCTCTTGTTTCTGTGCTCTACTCTGCTGATGTCCTAGAAAATTCCTCAATTTTCTTTGATTTTACATCAGATCATTTACCCGATGCAACGCACGGGCATTACTCTAGTATAAATAAAAATAAAAAGACTCTAAAGTCATCATCTACTCGGTGATACCAAATCTTATCCCTGCTCACGCGTCCGTGTCCGATATGAATCATAGTTCACTAAGTGCTCACATGTCCGCGTCCTACGCGGTTCTAATACGAAGACCAGATCCACGTGTCCATGTCCGATATGAAGTCCTTGAGCTCACACGCCCGCTTCCGGTCACTAAGGTTCAATTCAAAAAAAATTACCGGTGCAACGCACTGGCATATATCTAATAAATATAATAAGACTCCAACATAGTGGTTTTGATCACAAAAGCCTGAAAGGATTGTTTCATTAAAAAACGAAAGAAAGTTATGAGATTTATTTTTCCTATATGTGAATGCCCCTATATACTCTTGACGTTGTTTCAAATTAGTTGTATGTATGGATTTGTTACATCGGTGACTTCCTTTATCTTCAAAAGATACCTTGAGGGAACAAAGACTATAAATTATTCATCCAATTCATTCTACTCTAATATGTTTGGACTTCTATATGCACATGCGGAAACATGTCGATTATAACAACAGATAAATGCAATTGCTAAATCGGTGATAGAGCTCCAAGCCAACCCATGTTGCACAGCTCAGAGATACGAATCAATCAGTTGACTGTGCTCAAGGCACAACAAGCTAGGCAGTACAAACTAAGGTACACGATTTGTTTATTCTGTCAATGGTATTGTTTATTTTCTTTAGGATAAATATTTTTGGAGTACATATTATGTCCTGGCATAGCTTTAACTTCAAGATCCATAGAGGAATTGAGTTTGTAGGATAAATAAAATAGTTTAAATATATATTCATTCTAAATTACTAACAAAAATTGCTTAATCAAATGTCTTCATCATCCCCATAAGTCTATAGCCCCAAAGATTTTTAGATCTATGAATGACCAACTCCAAGAATTATTGGAGCTAGAAGCCTAGAACTATGCCAAAATGGGTCCTATAGCTCAAAGGCAATGTAAGGATCATTGCAACAATGTATCTACAATTTGCTCCAATATCCATCCTAGAAGTTGTTGCATGGAGAACATCTTCCCAATGAAAGATCTTGTCACTAACACTACAAGGTTCTACCTCTAATGCCACGCCACATGATTGGAACACCACTAATTTGGTTGCCATAGGTGGGTCGTATTGCAACATTTCCATAAAATGGTTGCAATATGTGCCTATAATGCAACGGACTAAATTTGTTGCAATATGTGTGGTTTGTCGTTGCAACAGGCTTGTGCTACTGCAACCATTTAAGAATTGTGTTGCAATTAGTTGGCATTATTGCAATGGCACTTTTGAGTTGCAATAGTATTGGTTTTCGTTGCAATTACTTGTTATTGCAACTATATTGGATTTGGTTGCTTTTGCCTGTAACTATTACCACGGTTATTATGGGTTGCAATAATGTTCCATGGTGTTGCAATTGCTAGGGTGGTTATTGCAACAAGATTTCCGAATGGATGCAATAGCATGTTTCTATTGCCATGGTTTTCTGGGGTTGTAATAATTTTTGTGGTGTTGCAATTGTTAAGTACTTATTGCAACTACAATCCTAAATGGTCGTAATATCATGTTAATATTACCACGGTTTTTTGTGTTGCTATAGGCTACCGCTGATGCAACGGCCTAAAAGTGTTGCAATATACAAAATTGGTTGCAATATACAAAATGCTCCACGCATTAGACTACCCCTGATGCAACGGCCTAAAAGTGTTGCAATATACCAAAATGGTTGCAATAGACAAAATGCTCCACGCATTTCTGAATATTGTATTCTATTGACAAAAAAAATGTTCCACAGAGGATTTGATCCCAAGAACTAAAGTACAAGCAAACACTCATCTACCACTTGGGCTACTAAGGTGTGTTCGACATTAAGCATTTTTTATATTACTTGTTTACATGATGAAGATGGCTAATTCACTTCATATGTCAACAAGGACGATAACCATCCGCATCTTCCATGACAATTTCAGAAAACAAAAAAATTGTCTAGCTTGCTGATATTTGTGCTTATGATAGAAAACAAACATGAGTACAACAGTTTAAAGACCAACTGCAGCTATTCATTATCCTGGACAATGAGATTGTTTTAAAAAAATCCAGAAAAAACATCACTGTTGTACAAAGGATAAGTATTTAAACAAAGAAATCATCTTCTATGCTTTCTACCGCAACTGGTGCAACAACTCCAACTCCATCGTCAATGTAGGTGTCATCTTCAGCATCATCATCCTCATCAAGTAAGACTGCATCATCTGGTTCGAGAACTGCTTCGCCACGCACCTGATTAATAACAGAGGCATCACCAGTTGTGCCTTCCTTGTCTGGTCTTGTCCAATTTGACAAATCCTCATTTGGGCCTAATAGATTCATGTCTTGGATTCCCACATCAAGTAGATTGACTTCCATGTCACCCTCATTTTTTGCTTCTAGCATGGCAAACAAATTTCTTGGTCTCACTGCAACAACACTAGACCATCCTGGCTTGTTCACGAGGTTGACAAAAAACACCGGTTTGGCCTGTGTTGCCAGAATGTAAGGTTCATTTGAATATCTAAACCTAGAAGTATCGATATCGATAACACCATATTTATCCCTACTATATCCTCTACTTCTGCTGGTACTGGCAGCCGACACATCATACCAATCACACTGAAACAATAAAACTTCTTTTTGTGCAGGGAACTCGAGTGAGATCATTCTTCTAATCACTCCATACTAGGTCATGTTGCCAGTAGTACCATCACCCCTCACAAGCACACCACTGTTGTGTGACGAGGTTTCTCTCAATGGTAGTCATTCAAAATAGCCAGTTATTGATGTAGCATCTATTGAACACACGAGCTCGATGGTCCCGTCCTTGAGAAAGGGCATACATAAGTTCACTTGCTTCACCTTTCTCGTATAGTTTGGTGATCTGCAAACACAATTTGAAAACAAATGTCAGTTAATAAGTACATCGTTCTAACGATCACATGGAATAAAAAATTTAAAAATAGAACTAACCTTGCCCTCGAACCACCTTACAAAGTGCTCCTCGTGTCGTTTATTAAGATTCCTTATACTATTTTTTTAGTTCTTCCATGTGCTTGCTGCATTGAAATAGCCAATTAATTAATTAGTTGATGCCAGAAACAAAAAGTAGATTAATTAATGATGGTATATTGCAACTTACTCGACCCATGGTCTGGCTTCATCGCAGTTACTAATTATGTAGTGCCTCATCTTCCGAACCTCATCTGCACCAAATATCTCGGTAGTCTATCCTCTCCTCTTGTAATCCATTTCTCCAAATACGCTCAGACCAGATGGCGGCTCATTCACTGTTGTACTTTCATGACCATCAGAGCGATTTAGCTTGGTGTCGACGTCCAAGAATCTAGAGCAAAATGTAAGGCACTCCTCGGCTATGTATCCCTCGGCTATTGAACCTTCTGGGTGCGCCTTGTTTCTCACATAGCCTTTAACAGTACGTAGATACCTCTCAACTGGATACATCCATCTATAACAAACGGGCCCTCAAGTTTAGCCTCTTGACTAGATGAACCGCAAATGAATCATGATATCAAAAAATGCAGGTGGGAATACCATCTCAAGCCAAGCAAAAGAGTCTTTAATTGAACTACTAAGTTTGTCAAGATCTTCTTCCACTAGCTCCTTCGAACAAAGTGCACTGAAGAACCTACTAAGCTGAATCAATGGCATGACAACTTGTTCGGGCAAAATCTTTCTGACGACTAAGGGTAACAATTTTTGTAGAATAATATGGTAGTCATGTGTTTTCAGTCCAGACACCTTACATGCATTTGCGTCAACACATCTCCTTATATTGGAGCTAAACCCATCAAGCATCTTCGCTCCATGTAGAAATTGGCATAAACTTTTCTTGTCAGCCTTATCTAAAAAGTACAAGGCTGGTGGCAAGGTATAATTATCATTGTCAATGACAGGGTGCTGATCTTGCCTTATCCCTAGCTGTTCCATGTCAAGTCGGGTCTTCTCGTTGTCCTTACATTTACCTTCAATTTCAAGCAAAGTACCCAATATGCT